GAGAGAGAGAGAGAGAGAGAGAGAAGAGTCCAATAGAGAAGATAAATAAGATTTATATACAGATATACAGGGTGAGGCATTTAAAACAAGCCATCTGAATAACTCTTTTATTTTTAATAATGTGAAAAAGTATTTCAGACAAGAGTTGCATGATTTCGACGGAGTCATTACATAGTATAAGTGTAGTACATAGTACATATGTATTTTTTTTTATAAGTGGAAGACGTGTCGGAGATTTGAAGGTCAACTTTGATTTGTTTATTAATTTTCGTCATCCTACCCTTATAACTTTTTGCGCCGAATATTGCGAGGAATCAAATTATATAAAAAAATCAGAGTAGTTCCATTTAAAAATTAAAGTTGACCTTCAAATCTCCAAAACGCTTCCAGTTATAAAAAATATACATATACTATGTAATGATCCTCTTAAAATCACGCAACTTTTATCTAAAACACTTTTTTCTATTATTAAAAATAAAAAAGTTATTTAGGTGGCCTGTTTTGGATGCCTCACCCTGTATATATATAAATAAAATTAGAGAAATGAACTTATATATATATTCATTTCTTTAATTTTATTTAAAAAATAGATAAAAGAAAAGAAAAAGAGGGAGTAAAGGAAAAGATAAAAAAAGAGGAAAAACGGAAAAAAGACAAAGAAGAAAAAAATATAAAAATAAAGAAGGAGAAAAAAGGAGAGACAAAAAAGATAAAAAGAGAAAAAGAAAAAAATAAAGAAGAAAGAAGGAAAGATGAATAGAGAAAGGTATGTATATAAATCAATAAATAAATTATGCACTTATCACTTTTCCATTTTGTTTTTTTTCGGTAAAATTTGTGACCCCTTAGAATGATATTCATTGTTACGTCAATAAATATTTATAGCCAGAAAATCGAAAAAAGTGTGCATGTAGTGCAACATTTTTCAAATTCTAAGTTGGCCTTGTTGTCGGGGGAAAGAAGGGGTAGGAAACATATATTCAAGAAAAGCAGAAAGACGCAGAGATCACTGGAAAAAGGGAATATGAAGGAGGAGAGTGAGATGGGGGAGATGATAAAAAGATGGAGGGAAAAAATGGAAGAGGATTTAATGGAAATGCAAGGAGTAAAAAGATGTAGCATAAGATTTTAAACAAATAAAACAATGAAAGAGGAAATAAATAAAGAGATCAGAAAGCAAAAGATGTTGACAGAGGAAATAGAAGAGACGAGGAAGAAATTTAAAGAATACGAGGTGAAGAAGAGGGAAAAAGATGAGGAAATGTATTAAGGTTGAAGAAGAAAGTAGAAGAATTGGAATAGAAAAGGAAAGAAGGAATAGAAGAAAACAAGGCAGAAGGAGAAGGGGGGAAAGTATGAGAATAGAAGACAAAATAAAAGAAATTGAAAGGAAAATGGACATAAAAAACGGGAAGAGAAAGAAAGAACAATTTCATGAAAAGGATAGAAAGGAAAAGAAAAGAGGCGAAAGAGGAGGTGCTTAAGATTGTAGCAACAAAGATAAATATAGAAGAGATACAAAGAACAGGAGAAAATGTAAAAGAGCGAAGCAAGACGGTATTAGTAAGACTGGGGAATGAAGAGCAATGAAGGGAAATACTGAATAAAAAGAAAAATTTAAAGAACAGGACAGAAAGAATTATGAAAGATTGGATATGAAAGAAAAAAGGAATAAGATAGAAACTGGAAGAGATAGCGAGAAAGAAAGAGAAAGAAAAAAGCTTGGATAGGATATGGAAAGATAAGAATATATGAGCAATGGTAAAAAATGAAAAAAGAATAGAATAAAATAAAAAAATTTGGATGAGAATTTAAAAAAACTGAATTATATACTCTGAGAGAATTATTAGAATAATAGAGATTTAAAAAGAATGATAAAGAATAAGAGAGAATGAGATTGATTATGAAAGAATGATTAAGAATAAGATAGAATAAAGTAAATAATATTTCCTTGAATAAAAATAGAAAAGTTAAATTATATATTGTGAGAGAATTATCTGAATAACAGAAATTTAGAGAGAATGGGAGAGAATAATATTGATTGTGAAAGAATTATTAGAATAATAGAGATTTCGAGGAAATAAGACGGAAATAAGACAAAATGAGATTATTTGAAAAAGAATGGTTAAGAATGAGATAGAATAAAATAATAAATATTTCCTTGGGTAAGAGAGTAAAAGATAATAAGAGAGAATTATTAGAGCAAAGTGATACCGGGTTTCTTCCGGATATCTGCTGATTCAATATAAAATTCAAAAATATTTTCTGCCTTTATTGGTAGAGAGCTATGATTAAATGTTTCTCGTAGAAAAAATGAGAAGTGAGGGAAAGAGAGGAGGAAGAGAGAGAAAAGGGAAAAAGAAAAAGATGGAGAGAGGAAGAAGAGATGAGTGAAATAGTAATAATTAAAGCAAAAGGAGAGCGAGATGTGGGCGCGTGTCAGGATTGGCGACATTACACTAACAACCACACGATAAATTAAGTAGGAATGTCAAGTGATAAGTTAGATTAAGGAAGAAGTGAAATAAATGTTTTTAATTTTCGCATATAAATTGTTAAATGTTTTTTTAGTAAATTGTATTTTCTTCATATATATGAAGCTAAATAGCGCGCGCGTAGCGCGCGCCTGTATTGATCTGGTGCATAATAAAAATGAAATATGTGTAATATGAGAATTAAAGATTCGTCTGCTTTAGAATTCCGAAGACGAGCAAGATGCTCCGGGCTTATCTGACAAGGGATCGTTCACAAATGTCCCCCCCTCCCCCGATTTGATTCTCCTTGAAATATGTTGTAAAACATACAATTTGAGGAGACACGTATTTTTTTATAGCGGCCCTAACTCAAATTTAAGGGGTGAAACACTCCTTTAAAAAAAACGGTTTTTTCTTTGTGTGTAACTATCGCCAAAACCGTAGGAGATATAAAAAAATGTTTCAAATAGAAGTTGTATGACTTGTAATGGGCTTTATAATTGTGTAGTTGGATTTTCAAAAAATGTTATTTTTTTAATTTATCCCCACCTCTTGTTATTATTTTTTTAAATTTCAAAATTTTTGTAATGACAAAAGTTGTAGCATTTTTTACGCTGAATTCAACCATATATGATTTTATTATGTTCCGAAATCGCATCTTTCAAAAATGAGTTAGTTATCAGTATCACATTATATGCGTCGCGCTGCATGATGCATTGTTTATACCGCACTTGTGTTGTGCATAGTCGCAAAATAAATATAAAAATGACATTTTATTACATATTTGGGGAAAAAAAAGTTTACTAAAATTGTTGCTAAAGCATCCCTTTCACATTACATCCTTATAGATAATCGCTGCATTTCGTGCGCAGCGCGTGTCATATGCAAGTTAGCTATACATGTGTATATAAAATGTGAATATTATTTAATCATAAATTAAGAAAACAAGTATAAATATATTATTAATTTGAAAATATCACGTTTGAGAGACGTGATCTCACACGAAAAGGTTAAATTATTTAATTATAAGTTAAGAAAAACAAGTATAAATATAATATTAATTTAAAAACATCACGTTTGAGAGACATGATCTTACAAGGGTTGTCTAAAAAGTTTTGAGCCTCAATACGAAGATGGCATTACTCGTCA